AAGTCCGTTCCTGTTATATAAATCTAATAATTTTACTATGTTTTCAAATCCGATAACCTTTTAAAGCTGATACAAAAACTTTCCACCATGCATACCGATTCTGAGAGGGTCAACTGTAATTCTAAAATTATAAACTTTTTGATAAAGATTCCGTAATAGTAAATGCACAGCTTATTTTGGGGTATCATAAACGTAATGAAGAATTGCAAAATTTATACGAATGATAGATTTGATTTAAAAAAAACATCCGGATAACACTACATAGAATTATGCATAATGCAAGCATGTGATAGATTTTCAGCATTTCACGTTCCTTTGTCCACCAACAACCATGACCAAAAGTAAAATTTCTTTGTTACACTCTTTGTTCACCATCATATTCATTAAATCCTTTGTTCTCAATTGATCTCAATACTTTTTAATTTTAAACAATCTTTTCGAAATTTAAAAGATTTAAAATAGATTATGTAATTACTTTCTTGGTACTTCTTTGTTTGTATTTGTAAAGTCAGAATTGGGGACCAAATTTAAAGTAACATTTACATTGTTCAGATAATGTTTGTTCAGCGATGTTACAGATATCTATAATTCAGTACTTTCGCATATGTGAAAAAAACGTGTAAAAAATTTTTTTTTTTAGATTACATATGATAACAAATAAGGAAATCATAGAACGCATATCTTGATATTACGTAACCTTTGTTCTTGATGCCTTATATACTTTTATTCAACCATAGAATTGCCAAAAAAATTACAATGAAAAATAAGAAAAAAAAAAGAATAAACCCGAAAAAACAAGAAATTCAGACAAGCATTATTAAGCCAGAAACAATTCGTCTTTGTCTACATGGAATATCAAGGAGTGAATCAGGTATTTACAAACCACAGTATAAAGAAATCCCTTGTAGTCAGATTTGGATTCATTGTGGTTGAGTTTCGTAAAATTCTATCATTTTTTTTCAAGTTCATTGTTATGCGACCTTGAAAAACAAGTTTTTGGAGAAACATTAATATGGATTTATAAGATTTCATTGTGAAAAGTTGCATTGTTACCAAAATTATTTAGTCAAGTTTTGATGTTTTTGTTTGTTTAAAGGATTTTATGTTCCCATCTAAAATAAACTAAGATAAACGAAGATAGATAATGATAAGATAAGCGAAAAATTTATTCGTAGATTTATAATAAAGAAATATACGTAAGAAATCAAGAATTAAAAGATTGAGAAAACAAACTAATTTTGGATGATACTTGGATAGTTCTTTGATGATACGCAAAATCTTTTTTATACATATTTGATACGTATTAGACAGGTTCAATGAAAACGATTCATGCTATGGAGCAGACAAGAAATTGTAAAACATATTAAATCAATGAAAATACCGGTTATATGATTTTAAACACGTATCGATATGAATGAAATTAAAAAATAATAATTGTTTCGTAATAATTCTAGGCACAATCTTCCCGGATGATAATCCAGTTGGTGAAACGTCAACGTATGCAACATTTTCAGACACGTTTTATAATAAGTAAGTATGTAATTACTTGTATAACAAGAAATTCCGGATTGCTAACACATAACGAGGATGCCATAATGACGTTTTAAGAAAAGGCTATCATAAAAGAACTCGGGATCTACTAATTAAAAGAAGAGCTAGAAGAGTGTCATTGTCATGTAATATTTTAATTGAACTTCTAAATAAGAAATAGATAATGAAAATTATTAAAAATTTATATGATTGATTGATATACAGTATGTATATTAGAAAGAAAAGAAAAAAAAAAAAAAACTTGACACACTTGACACATATAAAAGCGCATACATTTTAAATTAATGATATTCCAACAAAGGTTATAAAAGTTGACAGATCTCATCATACAGAATAAACTAGTATTAACGGTCATCATGTTAAAATGACAAAAATGAAGGAAATCCAATTTCATAAAGATTTCATAATAATAAATTTATTTAGATTTATTAAGAATTAAAATGGACTATCGTAGATTTATTGAGAATTAGAATGAATAGAATGGAGAGAATGGGAATGAAAATTGATACATGATAAACAGGGTAGAGATTCTCGATAAAAAATTTGATGCATTCTGCAATAAATATTAAATTAATAAATTATATGTTTCGAATAACAAGATCATACCATGATGTTAAACAAGCTAGGCTGAAAGTAAACTTGTAATTAATCGAAACTATAATAAACCCAAAAGAGGAGAATTTTCAAGACTCCGTTAGTCCATTCAACGTTTAGAAATACCAGAAATTATAATAAAATATGGGTAATGTGGATACATAATTGATATGCTACAAAAAATGCTAATAAGTATATAATAAATATATAAGAATAAATATAAATAAATAATGACGATAAATAAATAAATAAATTTACGAAACAATAACGGTTCATTCATAATTTTTTTTTTCAAATCAGTAAGACTCGTGATAGTCTGCATTTGTTTTTAAAATACACAGCGACAATGAATGCTATTACAGCTAATTGTTTAACATTAGCGTTAGGGATTATATATAATGTATTAAAAATTATACATATTAGATACAATATACGTACGTCCGTCCGTAAGTATTTGAAGTATTTGAAGCAAGTATTTGAAGTATTTGAAGTACGAAGCACGTATTTGAAGTATTTGATATTTAGATATTACGAACTACATTACAGATATTTTAAAAAGTTATTACAATATTGTCAAAAATGAACAAATTATGGACTAATGTTGTACCGAAGTACAAAAAGTAAATACAGAAATATCAACCGACATTCTAATACAAAAAAAAAAGAGCGGCAAAGTTGTCAAACATGAGATTTGATGATTTTTTTATATTATAATAGAAAATCAAATTTGGAAATAATGAAATCGGATGTGTGCCTTGAGTGTAAATTAGATTGAAAGTGCCGATGAATTTGCCATAAAAAATTTGGCGGGAACTGAAACAATGAAACTATTCGAATTTTTCTCATCTATGAACCTTAATTTCATGATAATGAATCCTTAATAAGTCAGCGTACAAAATTTCTTTGTGATTCGTAATCAAACCATATCGGATTTAATCTCATGGTATCATAAGTTGAATTGTTACAAATTTACCCAAATTTTGGACAAATTTCTTTTTTCATTGTGCGTTTTATCAATTTCCATCAATAGATTAATATGGAACCTTAATCAGATAGTTAATGATAAACTTTATCAGTTGCAGAATCGAGATGAACCCCCCCCCCCCTCTCCTCACGAATCAGAAAAATATGCGAACCACAAGATTGCCATACGAAAAAATAATGAGGATAAATTGAGACTTATTAAGGGATGGGTCGTACTATTGTATTCATCAACAAATATGGACGCCCCAACTCTGTTTCTAGAATAACTTTCTTAACGTTAACGTTAATAATGATTATTATAATAACTGTAATAATAACTGTAATAATAACCGTAATAACTATAATAATTAATTAATAATAAATAATAATAAACGTTTTTTTTTTAAAAAAAAAAAAAAAAATTTCTTCCCGCCGCTCCTTATTGCAGTATTATTCTCATGATATTACACATTATCGTTATACACAATTATTACATATTATAACATTATACATAACATTATACATATTACACATATTTATACATACATTTATTATAGAAAGATATGCATTTGTTTTAAGCGCCATTTATTTATTCTTGGCAATCATGACAGTTATTCGCATTAATATGTGTACTCGCGTGGTGATTGGTGCACTTTGATTAATTCTGGAATACTTATATATTTAAAGATATATATAGATATAAATATATATATATCGACAAATATATGTAATTTAGAAATGTATACAATTTTTATAAATTTTTTATAAGAAAATATTTGGAAGTTCAAGAAAATGTCGTACCAGTACAGTCCTCGGGCCGTGGTTAATAAAACATTAATAAAATGTTAATAGATTCGGACTATTTAGACCTTGTTTTCATAATAGATTTATACGGAACAGATTTTATACATAAATATTCATGAAACATGTTATTCAGATACATATGTAAATACATATGTAAATGTATAGTTAAAAATATATATAAATAGATAATCTCATTATCTTTGCATGACCATTCTATTTATTAAACTCCTGGATCGTACCAAAATCGAAACACGTGTTACCATAAAAATGTCCAAGTTCGTTTAGAACTTATCAAAGTGATCAAAGAATATTTAAACACTATGTGCAAACTAACGCGCAAACTAAAATACTATAATACATATAATAATGCGTATAAATTACTAATAAAGTTTAATTTCATTTATTTCATTTTAGATTTTCTGGAAAGTTAAATCTTATCCAGATTTATAAAAAAATTTTAAGCAAACACCAATGAATTTTTTCCGTAATATTTCTTATTTTGGAGTATACCATTCAAAAGAGTAATTATGATTGGATATGAGGTTTCAATACGAAAGTGGAAATATTAATTTGATTTATCATATTTTCTGTATTTTCTGTATTTTCTGTATCGTGTTAATCAAAACAATGAGTATTTTAAGTTCTTTTTTTCTTTTAGTCGATGTCACGCGCGCATATATTGATTGGTTTAACGTTTCAGCATCTTGAAATGCATAATGTTTACAAATTGATTTATAGTAATTTATAGTCAGTTTGTTATACGTACAATGAAGGTAATATTGTACAATGACTGTGTTTTAAAATTTTAAAATCATTTTTTTCTTAGCATTAAACATTTAGTACGTATTAATTCATCGTAAATTTTAACATTAATTTAACATAAATTTGGCATAAATGAACATAGTATCAGTACATCAGTAAATATGTACGTACGTATGTACGTACATACGTTTTTTTTCAATATATCCAATATTAAATATTGTTACTCAAACTTTAACTTGTACTAAATAAATAATGTTCTACAATGTTTAAAATGTTACCTAATGATAATATATGCATTATGTTTGATTATAAACTATTAAATGATTTAGATGATTCCATTGTGTTTTTACATTTTTTTTAAAAAACAGAAGGTTTGTGCAATATGAGTATCACCAAAACATTAAGCACGTTTTTTTCGGTGGGTTTCCCGCGTTTTTCTCAGATTCCCGCCATTTTTTATACTAATGAAAAAAAACAAATTACACACTTATTATAATGACATTTCACAACACATTTGCACGTTGTTATAAATGTTTCACGTTACTACGTTACTTTACCTTACCCTACGTTGCTTCATGTTACTTATGTTACTTTATGTTGTTACTTTATGTTGTTTTATGTTACTTATGGTCATAACACGCAATATCTCGTTATTAATTACCCCCGCATAATTAGTAACATATCATTAGGCATATCACAAATTAAGAAATAATCAATCATTTAGTCGTGATGTAATATTTAGTTTTTTTTTTATAAACTTTTGTGAAATGAGAAATAAACTTTGTGTGAAATGAAATGACTTAAAAAGGTAACAAAAAATAACGCGCAGAATAAATCACTTAATATTGACCAAACGCGTATTATGAGTCACAACATGCAAAATATCAATATCGAACTACTTAATATTAGAAGTGTTCTTCAAAAGGTTCTTCAAAAGGGTCATTATAAAATCAATTTAGTTTTCAATCATGAAGCTGAATCATGATGAAGATGAATCATGAAAATGAATCATGAAAATGAATCATGAAAATGAATCATAAAAATGAATCAGAAAGAGTATTAAAGTCATCCTATTAAATTCAAGTATTATATAAATTCAATTAAACTCAATTATTAAAGTCAATTAATTAATAGTTATTAGATCCAATTATTAGATTTAATTAGATCAACTATTTTAGATTCAATTATTATATTCAATTATTGTAATTAATTATTATATCCAATTAAATATAATTAAATATAATTAAATATAATTAAATCCAATTAAATAAAATTAACTTCAATTAACTTTAATTAAGTTCAATTAGTTCAATTGATTTCGATAAGCCAGATTCATCGACATACAATTTTCCGGAATTTTGGAATTCCGGAATTTTGGAATCCAAATCTATTAAATCCATTTAACTCATTTAACTTCTCATTTAACTTGTACAATTTAGCAACCACTTTGTACAATAACCTGTACAATTTAACTTGTACAACGTTAAAGTTCAATGTAAATAGAATCCTTTGTTTTTTTCCTGATCATAAGACTTATCAAACCTTAAAAGATTTGTAAAGATACGTACGTATATACGTAATTATTGTATTTATTCAATAAAATTTCAAGTCAGACAAATAAAAGAAAATTTAGGAAATTGTAAACAATTTATAAAGCACGAATCATTAATCCTTTATTCTTTGTTTACGCACTTTATTTGTGATCGTTGTATACACTTGAAATACACGCTGAAATACATACATATACACACTACACACTAGTATTAAGATATATACTAATATTAATGTTAAATATAAGTTATATAGCATTAAACATAAAACTCGTACGTATTAAAAGATTCATATGGAAGGCTTCTTTTTTTCTTTATTAAAATTAAAAAACTTTAAATGACGAGGATCTCATATATAGCACATATAGTATAATGTTTTTTAAAAAAAAAACATGTACATACAAAGTGTGACAATTTTTAGATCAGTTGAGGTCTAGGGTACGTACGTACGTACATGGTTTTGGCTTGCATATTAAAGGATAAGATCAAACTCCGAGGTGATACAAAGCTCTATAATTTAGTAATAACGATAATAATTGTATATCTGTATAATAATTGTATGGTACATATTAATAATAGTATTAATAATACAGTTAATAATATAGTATAGGGTAGATATTGAAAGAAACAAAAAAGGCAATTCGTTAATGGAAAGTGATGTAATACTGTAATATATGATTATGATTAAAAATAAACTTAAAACCTTATCACATCTTACGATTTGGCGGTAAATCATTTTGTTTACCAAACTTCTACGTAATAATTATTATAAATATAAATATGTAATAAGTAAATTATATACGTATAAGTAAATTATAATAACCATAAAAATTGTGAATAATTATGAATAATTATGAATATAATTATGATAATTATAATAAGTAGGTTATGCCACGTTGCCTCATAGAACCCATTTTTTATGCCCGAGATTACAGGAAGTTATCCGATTTGCTTCTGTAAAGCAGATACTTGAGAAGGCGACATTGTTGTCTCTGAGAAGGCCGATAAGAAAAAACTTTATTTTGGAAAAACTATTGATTTGTTTTACATTTATGGAAATTATTTGTCATATGATTTTTTTTTCATGCATTTTTATATTCCGTCTTCACTTCAATTTGCGCACGAGCCTTTAGATTACAAAAAAAATACGCCGTTTAATACTAACCATTTTCTTTTTCATGACTATAATTAAGAAATATTAGTTCCGCATTGTTTACCTTCTTTATCTTAGTCTTAATATCGATTTAATTATTATATATCAAAATTATTATGTCAATTAATTATCTACTAATAATTACTAACGCTAATAGTCTAGGAATCTAAGAATCTAATAATCCAATAATCTGTTAATTATTAACGCTAACGTTACTAACATTAATGCTAACACTAATAATAATAATTATTAACGTTAATACATAACGCTAATACATAACACTAATATATAATATATAATATACTAATGATCCTTCTTTTACATTTTTGCAATTTTTTGTTCTCCGAAAAAACAAATCATATATAAATTATATATATGAGATATATGAGAATACTTGCCCTTACCCCACGCCACCATTAACACCATTTACAACTCCTTAATTATTAATCATTTGCATATACTAATAAATCAATTTGTACTAATAATTGACTAATTCGTATAACATACTAAATACGCTTCAAGTATTTACGCCCTTCTCGGACCGAACTAAAGATATAGCAATAGCAATGGATATATATATTTATGGACACTTTTAAATATATAAGAATAAATAATTTACTTTTTTCGTGATATTTCCGAAGTATTGTTAATCTTTATAGGTATTTCCTTACAAATATGAAATACACACTTACAAGTATGTATTTACAAGTAGTATGTATTTACAAGTAGTATGTATTTACAAGTAGTATGTATTTACAAGTATGTACGTATATCGATATGAAAAGATTTTTATACAACCATCTTCTGTATAACCATCAAACAATAACTTTTATTATCACAATGTCGATCATGCTTTTTAGTTTTAAAACAAACTAATTCAAAAAGTCTTTTGTTTGAAAAAAGTACCCTAAAGTTGTTTCTCTTATCTTTAGTTTCCATATTTGTATAAACTTTTCTAAATATTAAATTTACCCGATCTTCTTATTTTGTCGTATTATCATGAGATCTATATCATTTCCATCATTAAAAAAGTCTATTGTTTCATTACCCCGCTCACATTTACTAAATCTTAAAGTTTAGGCTGGGTTTATAGTTTGCACCAATCCCAAGAATGAATGATTATTTCTAAAGAAGGATTTATTTCATTGTGTTAATTCATATAATCATATTTAATAAAATATCTGTGACCATGCAACAGATACTGCAATGGATAACTGCAACAGATAACCGCAACGGATAACTTTGATTAACTTATACTTATTTTATTTCTTATTAATCATATATAAATACATGATCAGGGAAACAATAAATCAATCTCACGTAGTTTGCAGTTAAAAAAAATTTTTTTTTCTCATATTGTTTTTTTAATCATTTGTTTTAAAATCTATTGTTAAATAAAATAAAAAAAACTCCCCCACCCCTAGATTCCTTTTTTTCTTTTATCCTAGATTCTTTTTTTAGTAACTCTTTCTGCGTAGATTAAATGTTCTTTTTGACAGATTGATATACATTTATAATTATCGTCATTACTAATTAAAGTACCTAGTTGATTCATCTTATTAATCTTTGATTGGTACGTACATGAATATTGTTTCATCATTGTACATCGTATTACTCTTAATTAATTGGTCTTTAACCTTTCCTTATTATTTTTAAAGTCACGATATCGGATTAATTTTAGGTTTTATTGTTCGCTATCATCAATTTATCGTTATAATATATTATGATTATTATGAATACTTGCGTGCGTAAGTACGTACTTACGTACATACGTGCGTACGTATTGCTGTATTGGTATCATTATCATTATATGATGATACCATTATATCTATGAATATATCTATATGATATATATATACATATATAGCTGTATAGTATATATACGTACATATACATATATATATAGTATATATATATATATATATATATATATATATATATATAGTATATATATATATATGTATATAGTGTATATACTGTATATATATATATATATATATATACTTTTTAATAGATTGTTTTTTTATTATATTCATATCGATATATATTCATTATATTCATTATTAGTTATATTTATTGTCGTTATATGAACTGGTTTTTTAACCTAATATTATAACGATATCCAATAACGATAATCCAATAAATATTGTAAATGATAAAAAAAAAAAAGATAAATGAATAAAATGAATAAGTTGTACACACGATTCAAAAAAACTAACTTTTTGTGATCCACACACAGATTCCAAAATTATATTTTTTGTTTATCTGTCCATTCATTCATGTTTCAATAAACTTTCTAACAAAACTGGTTGGATATCCTAGTATCATCAGCCGCCATTATCTAATATAAATAATTGTAACAGGTAATCTAAAAAAACTTTCAACTTTGTACCCATTTTATGTATATATTTAAATATAGTTTAATATTCTGTATAAATAATTATACTGTGATCTCATGGAAAAAATGGAAAAATAACAAAACTTTAATATATGCGGAAACAGTGTCAAAGACAATAACCTCATAAATAAATATACTTTTAATCTAAAATGAATAAAGTTCGGCAGATTCTTATAACGAACAAATCTTTTTTCATTATTCATCTATTTTTGTATAAATACATCAAGTGTTCAATTGTCCGTAGTGTGTTTTCCCCCCTTTTTTTATTTATTATTATTATTTTTTTATGATTTGTTAAAAAAAAAAAAATCCTACCACGTATATATGTATACACTATATATATATATACGATATATACTGGAAAAAAAAAATATCTATTTTTTTTCGTATATATTGTAATTTTACGACTAAATATCAAATTCTTTTCTCGTACGATCTTTCTTGAACTAAAACTTTTGAGAAATTCCTGTGAAATTCTTGAGAACCTTTTGAGAAACTGAACAAAGAAGGTAAGCAATGTATATGTCGTTTTTAGAATATAAACGTCATTTTCACAGAAGGTCGTGAGGGACATAAAGGGGAATTGCAGACAATGTTTTAGAATTCAATCACGATGAAAATAATCCGATTTGGCCACGATCCTTTGTTTCTTGTACATGCGATTTTATCCTTTGTTTGGAATATGAATTTAAGGTTTTTCTTTGAACTATTACTAACAATCATATGTATTCCCCCCTTTCTTCTTTCTTCTTCTTTCTTCTTCTTCTTTTGTCCTTCAACTTTAATCTTTCTAAAAACATTTAACAATTTCTAAACTTTTTATATTTTTCACGTCTTTTGATCTTCTTTTTGATTTTTTTTTAATCTGCAGTTCTTTTGATCAATTTGTCAATAAGAATATCTTAACGTCAAAGATTACGAGTTAAAAAAAAAAATCGTTATCAGTTGGTATGTAATTTTTTTATACTCAATCATTTATGCCTTAATCTTGAACACTATGAATTATGAATTATATGAATTATGAATTATTATGATAGTGTGATTGTACAATTACTACTGTATCCCTCGATGTTGACATAACGCATACGTATTAATTTAACAACAACAACACGAGATGTTGAAAAACATTAATTGGTGCAATTATTACATTTTATCATTACATTTCATCATTACATTTTATCTTTACATTTTATCATTACATTTTATCTCCCCCCACCCCTTCGTTTCTTTCCTATTTAATTTCAATTTTTAATTTCTCCCATTATTTCTTTCTTTTCATTCTCATTTACACATGATCGAGTATTGTATTCCTCTCAATTCCATGTTATCGACTTTAGATAAAACTTCTTTTATAATAAGATTTCAATTGTCAATTGTCAATGGTTAAATGAATTTTTTAGTTTTTATGATTCGATTACCTTATTATTACGGAAGGGAGATGTCATTTTCGTTCTAGTTTCGTCATAGTTGGGTTTTTGAAACAGACAAAGGGTGAAATATTAATATAATAATTGTTAACTTTTCTTCTTTTGTTCTTATTTTTCCTCGTTGTTTAAGACTTGTCATTCTTTTTTTTTTTTCTTTTAAATTACCTTATCAAGACCGTTCGTAACGAAAAAATTTTGATCTGACAATTTTTTCTTTTCTTTCGAAAATTTAATTCACACAGTAGTCGCTATAAGTAGTAGTCTTCTTTTTCGCAATGTCATCTCACAAAAATCACGGACACGATTCTACTGCGCCAACAACTCCTCCCGTTTCTATCATTTCCGCTTCTTCGTCTAATATCGGTCTGGTTAAAGAAGATAATCGTCAACCTTCTTCTCCTCCTTTATCATCTCCTACAACTCCTTTACAAAATTCTATCGACCCTCTAAAAGTTGAATCTTCTTTACCTTCATTAGCTTCTGTATTCACTTCCTCTTCTAATAATAACAATAATGACAGTGATGAAGATGAGATTGATGAATTATTACCACAACATCAGAAATTAAGAAATCAACGTCACAATTCTGTTGATAATTACCTTTCTTCTCCAATAACTAATGATACTTCCCCTTCATTACAACCTCTTTCTATTGATAATGCTCGTTCGGCTGCTAGTATTTCAAATCTGATTAATCATGATGATGATCATTCCTCTGTTTCTCCTACATCACAAATGAGTAGTAGATCAATTTCTCCATCACCTGAAACCCCTCATAATAATGTCTCCATTTTAAATGAACCAAGGTTTATTAGTATAGAGTTTCACAACACAAACAACTCCGATTTTTCTTCTTCTATTACCACTAAAAAGAAAAGAAAAGGTGCTCATGATACTGATGATGATATATCTAAAAATAAACGTATTTCTGATTCTTCAAAAAGGCAACGTAAAAATATACATAAATCCTCTTCATCTACTTCTGTATCAAATACTCCTATCTCTGCAACTTCAATTATTGATGAACCTGATGACCTCTCTTTGAATGGTTCTATACCTCCTTCTCCAGTTCCTTCTTCAGGATTTGATGAAATGATTATTGATGATCATGTTTCTGATGATTTCCCTTCCTCTACTTCTCCAACAAATACTAGTGCAAATATTACTTTTTCTTCAAAACAAAATCGTAAAAAACCTTATATTCCTCGTCCTCCAAATTCTTTTATTTTATATCGTCAACATCATCATCCTCTTATTCTTAATCAACATCCTGGAATTAATAATTCCGAAATTTCTCGTATAATAGCTGATCATTGGAGAAATTTATCTGATCAAGAAAAAGATGAATGGAAAAGAAAAGCAGAAGAAGCAAAAGAACGTCATATGAAAGCTTGGCCTGATTATAAATATCAACCTAGAAGAAGAGTAGTTGGTCCAACTTTTAAAAAGCCTTTAAAGGGTCCAGGTGCTCCTACTAAACTCGATAATGTAGGTGATTTTGATACCGGATCTCGTCGTAATATTAATAATCATGTGAAGCCAAATATGGATAATTTCGTTATGGAGATTTCTAATTCTTTTCAAAGAAAATCCAGTATTGCTGATGAAATCCCTATTAATGATTCTCATGATTCGCGTGAGTTGACAGATATAACTTCTCAAAGGAAATCAATTATAATAATTGAACGTGGTTCGAAAGAATTGAATAAAATAGGTGATTATTTATTATATGAAATGTTTCCATTTATTGATAAATTCATTTATTCGCTTTTTTTTAATACACCCATATATATATATATATATACATTAAATACATATAGAACGTAATAAATCGAACAATAAAAAATCGCCTACTTCGGTTTCACTCAAAACAAAGTTGTCCACTTCTCCTCAAAGACAACATTCTACTTCATCGCAAATTACGACACGTTTACCTCCTCCACATACTTTAGTAGTTCCACCAATGCAATTATTACCACCCACACAATCTACAATGATTTTACCTAATACACCTTCTCCACCTGCTGCTACGGCTCGTGGTGCACTTATCGTTCTTGAAGGTTGTGAAGATGGTACAACCGCTTTACAATCAACAAAGTTATTGGAATTTTTAAAGAATGAAGGTATCAAAGCTCGGTTGTGGAAATTCCCTGATACCACAACTCCTTCTGGTACTGCTCTTAAAGCATATAGATCAAGTAATCGTCAACCACATCCGAAGACTCTTCATTTACTTGTTGCTGCTCATTGGTGGGAACTTATGCCTATAATGAAAGAACATCTAATAAATGGTACTACTTTGATAGTGGATAAATATGTTTACTCTTCGATCGCTGCTTCTGCTTCGGCGGGTTTAGACCTTAATTGGTGTAAAGCTAGTTATGTACACTTGTTATGCCCTGATTTGATCTTTTTCTTAAATGTGGAGAGAGAATCAAATGAATTAGATCAACAGTCTCAATCTCCGCAATCAACTCAACTCCCTCATGTTAATGACGTGCTTGGTGCTGGTAGTAATGATGATGAAAGTAGACGTGCATCTGAATGGCAAAAAAGATTACAAGATGCATTTGCTCGATTGGCCGAAGTTCAGTGGAAGGTAATTATTAAAATTTAATTAAAACTATATTCAATTTTTTTATATTTCTGATTTTTTTTTTTTTATATATAGATTCTGGATGCGCGAAAATCAAATACTTTGGTTCATACACAAATACTTGAAGCTTCAATTGAGGTCATTGAAAGATGTCGCAAATACACAACTGGTTATAATAGTAATATTAATAACTTTATGCCACAAAATCAATTTCTTTTTCCTCCTCCCCCACCAAACCAATCATCATCCTCATCACCTCCTCCTCCATCACAACTTTCACAATCTGCATATGTATTACCTACTTTAATGTTATAAATATTTTCTTACTTTTAATCTTTTTGTTTCAAAAAAAAAAAACATTTATACATCATTTGTTTCATTTTATATTTTGTAAAATTTTTTTTTTAATTCTTTTTTAGCACCATTTTTTTTTCTTCATTATACATATATATATATCAAACAACGTGTAAAAAAATCAATTAAAAAAAGTCATTCACTGTTTATAAATTCAAATACATTTTTTTTACCATCATACAGGAATATTATAATTGTGAACACTTATACTTTCTAACTCTCGATTACAATTACTGGTAAAATTAGCGTGTTATACCGATAATAGCAATAGTAGTATAAAATTTAAACGATATACGTGCACGTGATATTAAGTATACTAATAAAATATTTATATAATTCTACGTATTAATTTTAAGGCGTTTATCTTTATACATTATTATAAAATCCTGGTTAACTTTAATATGTCGGTGCGCCTCCTTGGGCTTTAATACTACATGTTTAAATTTGTTTAGTCATTCCACGCACGTACGGACCTACCCACCTACCTATGTGCCTAATTTATTTATGAATTTAAATGAAATTGCGTTTATGCAGTTTTAACCTTGTATTCCAAATCAGGATTATTATTATCGTTATTATTTTTTTGCCAAACAATTAAAATTTCAGACTTTTTTTTTTTTTAAGCATGTAATTGAATCATATGAATTCATGAATAGTTACAAAAAAAAAAAAACTTAAAGTTACGGGGGTATCGTTTTTTTTTTTGAAATATTTCTTGTTCATTAAAAACAAGTCTGTATACAAATATGTATTAAAATCATTTTACGTAAATCATATCGATATAATTAAATAATTTGCTAAAACTAGTATATCTTATTTAAAAATTATTTATATTATTATGATATGCTGATATAGAAGTATTTTTTATAATGAATTGTTTAAAATTTAAGGTGATTATATAGAATTTGTTATAAAGAAGTACGTACGACTGTATAATCATAACCTTGCTATAGTTATACGTATTATTTTTTTAGTCTTATATAGCTATTATAGAATATATAAAATATACTTTTTATCTAGTTACAACTTTTATAATTATTAAAATTGTGATAATTATATTAGGATCTGCTTATGTTTGTAATTTAAATACAAGTCAAATAATAGTAAATCAAATATAAATTAGATTATACAATCAGTTCTTATAATACATATAACATTTTTAAAAATAAGTTATTTTTAACTTAGTAAGTAAAAGAAGATTTTATTACATATTTTTACAAAAATGGTTTACTAATTAATGACTTAGACTATGTTAATTTAACAAAGATTGTTAATCTTTTGCAATTATTTCTAACAGTGTTTACATCATTCTATTGCAAATTTTTGCATGTTATAGTTAAAATTAACATTTATGAAGTTTTTGATATTTTGCATAATATTGTTATTAAACTGGTTTGTTTAGTAAAAAGGTTTAGGCCTTCTGTTTGCATTAACACTTATACATTTGTCTTACTATTTTTAGTTAATATTAGTTTCTTGCATCTTTTATTAATTTATTTGTAACAACTTCTAAATTGATAATTTCAAATTTGTAATACTTATAATTCTTTATTTTTAGTTTGCTTATTATTAATTTTTTTAAGATATTTTAATAATGATTCAAGATCTACAAATAAATTTATTATTTTTTTTTTAAGTTAAAGTTTCTGTTTTTGAGAATTGATATTTTTATTCAAGTTTTTTTGAACATAAATGCCTTTAAAAACATTTATACATAGGAGGTTACAACTAGTCAAACTAGTCATACATGCACTTTTGATGCTTAATTTAAATAGTCTACCTTATACATTACTATACAAGTTTTATACTAGATGTTATATCTGTAAGTCAATTACAGATCTTGTTTATTTAAACTCTTTGTATATGTAATCTTAACTCATATTATGATAATATTTTCAGAACTATACCTATTTAAAATGCTTTAGAATTACTTTATCTTTAATAAAAAACTTATTAAAACTTTCTATGTTCTATATATAACTGAACTAGTTTTATACAATATTCTATAGTTTTTTAATATTTATAGTCAAAGGTGTGGTGACTTAGTGAAGTGGATAAGTTGTCATACCTCCGAGTGGTAGGTTGTGAGTTG